CGTTAGTTCTTCTCTAAAATTATGAGCACAACATTGAATGCACTCTTGGTCCAATAATCCTGCATCATGGATCTTTACATTTCTCTCGTCTACCATGGGTCTCCTAAAAAGGGGTTGTAACATATCTTGATTAAGTTCGTCATTATCTACTCTTGCTCTCCTACGCGCACTGTCATTCCTATGAACAGTTCCCCGCCTTTGTGGTATTCCCCTGGCGTTCATATTAATTACAGTACTTAATGAAAAGAATATATATCCAGCAGCCTACATACCAAAACATCATGAATCCCTGGTGATTTTATAAAAGTATGATCGAATATGATTACTCTACGTTGTATATTCACTGCAATAAAAAAATTTACTTACGAAGGAATGCAAATACACCATTTTAGAACCAATAACATTTATAGGTTATTTTAGTTGTATATATTTACACAACCTTAACCTTAAAATGTGTAGAAATATAAAGAAAACAACATCATTTAAAATAAACTTGAATATATGATTTAAAAATAATACCCCCGCCGCAGCAAACCTGCAGACTAAGCGAATTTCCATTTTCCTGATTGGATTTACACTAAAAAATGTCTCCTTAAAAATATCACATTTATTCCCTATTTAAATAGAATCAGTTTAACACATACTTAGGTTTGCTGCAACAGGGAGGGTAAAAGTGTTTATTATGTAAAATTTTAATAGTTAGTAAGAAATAAAAACATTTTCCAAATTTGGACAAAAAAATGTTAATAAACAAGCAAACTACAACAGTTTACTTACTCTCCATAAGAATAACATGGGAATTTTAAATTTACAATTTTTTGAAATTTTCTCCGTAACCATTAGGTGCATTATAACGCTTCAATATACTAAATTATTTGTTTTTTTAAGCTCTACAAAATAGTTTGGAAAGAAATTGCAAAATTTTATGTTTTTTGAGTCAAAAGTGGGAAAACCCCATTTTTACCCCATAAAACCCCCCATAAACCCCCGTTCCCATGGTCCGATCATGCTGGTTCGCGAACTCGTTCGAATAAATGTAGGTTTACAAGTTTGTACCAAATTTCATCAAAATCGGATCGTTTTTGCTCGAGTTATCGCGCTAACGGACACATATATAAATATATATATATATATAAATATATATTTATATATATATATATATATATATATAAATATATATATATAAATATATATATATATGAATTTGAACGGATGGTGTTTTTGGTCCCTAGGGACCTCAAAACGAAAAAAATAATCGGTCCCGGGTCCAGGTCTTACCATGAGTACTACGGTAATAGCTTATTCCCTATATGGGAAATTCGCTAAAAACAAAACAGAAGTTAGATTTAATTTAGACTCTTTGATTATTTATACAGAATATTTATTCTATGTCGTTTATTCCTTTAACACGACAATAACGTAAAAGCACCTTGACGTAATGAAACTTGAGTATATGATTTAAATATAAACAAAGAATGCAGACGTTTTTCCGACTAATCTTCAATATTTCAGTTTTATTATAGTATACATTTCATAGTTGACTGGCTAAAAGTAAACCAAATGTGTGTATTGATCATTGTTTTCAAATATCTGTGGCTCAGCTGTTTTAATTTCAAAAGATGTAAACAAATTAAACCCCATGTTGTTTTAATGGGAAAAGTTTTATTCTGTTGCGAATTTATGGTAAAAAAATAAGAAAAATGAATAGTTTTCCCTCAAAATTCACGTCAAGACCTTTAAAATAAGACCCCTCCCATCCTTCTACTTCCATCCAGTCACTCACAATTTCTTTACAAAAATTTGACTTACGGAATTATATATATAGATACCAGCAATATACATGATCACCTGGGTCAATACCCCCCCAAACCAAGGCGCCCAAGGCAGCGATGTCGTGGGTTCGGATCCTGGTCACTGCCGATAACATTTTATCAGTACAGTTCACCTTTGTCCTGTACCGGCTCACTCCTTGCTTTGCTGTAAACGATCCACGCACGGGCGCTTAGTCTATGTGGACGGGCAAATGCAAGGTAAAAGAGGCCGCCAACCTCTTTAAAAAATAAAAAATAAATAAAAAAAAATAAAAAAATACTGTACTAACCCAACTGTAGAAAACCTACAGACTAAGTGGTTTGGTTGTATTTTCACTAAATTATTTCCTCAAAATTCTCAGATTGTAGAAAAAACATTTGTTTAATGAGTACTTAGGTTTGCTGCTACAGGGAAGGACATTTGGTGTGTTTTCTGTTGAATTGTAATAAATAAATATGAAATGAACAAATTTGCTTTCATCATATAATCTCTAAACAAGCAAACTACTACAGTTTATTTAGTCGTTATAAGATATACAGTGTCCCCGTAGCTATCTTCAGGGCTCATAACACATTTAAATACACATCAAATTAAAAACTTCTGTAAGTCAATGGGTACTCCCAGAGCTGCCATTTTGTATTTTTGTTCAAATATTGAATTCTACTCAATAATCATGATAAGTACTTAAAACTTTGAAACTACCCATGAATGTTAATACCAATATAACTAACATTAAAAAAGTTTCAATGTAAAAATTTAAAATTGCGGCTCTTATTTTTTAACAGAATAACTTTAAACTGTGCATCTTATTAAAAAGACCAAAGAATAACTTGCTGTTTATAGGAAATTTTAAGTAAAACGTTACGAATACCTCAAAATTGAAAATCCAATGAAAGATAAACGATATGTTAATGTTTGTTTTGCGCGCCTATGTATTTCCTTGTGCAACCAGCATATTGGTTCAGTGATTCTGATGTCATATCGTTGCAGCGCCTCACAGATGCATTGTACAAGCCGTACACTGACCTAATAGCACGTTTGAATGGTCTGTCTATTAAAATCCAATCAATCAATTAAAATCCAATAAAAACACAAGAATGCTAATTTATTCAAAGTTTTTAGAGAAACTTAATGGCACCTCAACATTGAAAATTCAATGGAAAATAGCCGACTATGACATTTTTGTGGTGCGCACTTATCAGTGTCAATGTGCGCTTTGCACGATGCTATATAAGCTATATCGTAAATCTTCAAAATCTTTGCCGAATACTTATTAATTTTAGGCACTGTTTAGTTGGTTTACAGGCTAAACTAACTGATTAAAAAGTATATACATCCTTTTTGTTACGTATATATTTGTTACGTTTTTCATGCAATATGTTATAATGTTGAATCAGTATAATTCGGTATTTCAGTACATTAATATTTTTACTTTAACTTTCAATTCTGTTACAGGGGTGTAAATATTTTGAACTCTCAATTTTGTTAAACCACGTGTGCTATAGTTTACTATGAAAAAGACAGCGGCAAAGAGAGAAGACTACAAAGGGGAAAATCTTAAAACAGGAGAATACAAACATTCAAAAGAGAGAAGGACGGGAAAGAAGTGGCCAAAAGAAAGATAAACACCCCTGATTATTGGGAAGAAAGAAGAATAAAAATACTTAACTAGATTAACGATTGTAAACTTTTTCAGACTTGTCTAAAAGGTTAATAACCAATAACAATATTATTTTTATATAACCCAATATGAATATCTATTATAAACATATTCCACAATAACAACAGGGGAGAGAATTTGTGGCCCAGCTATTTCAGGACCATATTGGTTTATTTATTGAGTTCCGATCTTGTTATATCCAGCAAACCAACAAACGCTCATAGCTTCTTCTCTGATAGTCTTATGGACAATTCATTGTAATGGAACTTAACACATGGTTTGAAAACAAATATCATCCTGTGCCTATAGAAAATAATTAGTATTAGGATCCCTAACAATATTATACTACAAAATTGTTTATTGGTTATACAGTATGTAGGATTGTTTATTGATAAATAAACCTTTATAATATTTACACGTGCCACTAACCGTTGAGTAGGATTTATTAACTTTTAAAGAATTTATATTTAATTTTAGGCATTGTCAGAGATGTGTATATTTAAAAAAATTTTCATGCGATAAATTTCAAGGAAGTACTTTGTATGCAAATATATAATTTGCTAGAATTTTTTGCAGTATAATTAGCATTACTACCGATGATTACCGAATTAAATTATGTAAAAACCATTCTTACCCAAAACCTCGGAAAATTATATTAGTCTTTACAGTGACAATTTTATTGACGGAATTATTGTAGCTTTCCAAAATAAATTCATTAAAAAGTAAATTTCTAATTTTAAACTATGAACAAAAATGTCAAACTCCTCATTCCTTCAAAATCTTCATTTAAGTCTTTATTGCCTTTTATTTTTTTAGCTTAGCAACCATTTTGATAACCTTGTTACCATGGTAACCATTAGGTGTATGATGATCTGATCTCAACGTAATACTGTGTAACTACATGGTAAGGTCCCAAAATTTTCCTTATTAAATAGACAAAAAAACATGATTTTCAAGTAAGTACAAAAATGTTGTTTTGCACTTAAAGATTACAGTAGTTTTGTTGCAGCGGAATACCCTTAACACGCCGGGCAAGGTTGAGCCCTGGACAAGCGTCGAAGGGGTCGTCTTTCTTGACTCCAGCATTCACATCCAGGTAGAAAAAAATAAATTTAATTAACAAGTTGCCTTGTGATTTTTTAAATTAATAAATGTTACGGTTCTAATTATTTCTTAGCTTATGTTACATTTTGTCTAACCGTAATACAATTAATTATATTTTCTCATTTAAACAGTAAATAAATATATTTTGGATTGAAATTTGTTTTTAATTTTTTATTAGTAAATTTTTTGGCTTTACTTTGTGTTCGACTTTTTTTATTTCAAAACAAACTATGATTTTTGAGGGAAAATATTGTAATATAAAAATTATTTAAAACTTACAAAAATCAGGTAAATAAAAAAGTATTTTAGGATATGACAAATATTATTCAAACCCAAACTTTCCACAAATTTTTTACTCACCTATATTTAAATTAAATTCTGTGAGTGTGTTTAAAAATAAATTTTTCATTTCCATGCCGCCTACCTTTAGAGAGACGTGCAGGGAAGGTTTCTAGCATGTCCGGTGGCCGCACGGGACACGGTAACACTGACGCCGGTTCTACATCCACCCTCCACCCTCACGCGCCGATCAATAGAAACATTTACCCTGATCATTTACTTACAACAATACCGGGGACCGGGACCTAGGCTCTTCAAGACTTGAGGTAGGGTGGGTTAGATGGTAACATGTTGGAGACTGAGTAGGGGAGGTAAACATGTCAGGAGTTGCGAGAACATAAGAGTTGTAGGGTGGGGCAAAGCTGTACGATACGTTCTTGGGGTAGCCAGAGAGTTAAGACAAGCTAGGAGTACAGGTGAAGAGTTTAGAAGTTCAGTAATCATTTAAGCATCCAGAAGGACGTTGCCTAAGATGATTCCATAGGGTAGGACAAGAACCATAACCTATGGTACGCTTGGAGAGTTGTGGTAGGATGGGGAGTAAGCAGTTTAATCCATAGAGAGCGGAACCAAGATCTATGACCTCTGACCTGGGAAACGCTCAAAGATTTGATAAAGGGTTGAAATTTTTGAGTTTTGGATGTTTCGATGCAATTAGGTATTTTTTCCTTCATCTTGTTAATATTATTTTTATTTACTATCATCATTAAGTGTCCAAGTGCTCCTCAATTTTTATGGACCTGTGTATAGCTATATTAGCAACTCATTCCCAAACACGAATAGTCTACTTGGGAATTATTTTCCTGTAAATACACAATATGTATTACATGTATTCAGGAATAAAGAGATTTTGATTTTGATTTGATTTGGGTGGGGGACACAGTGACATGTTGCGCAATCACTCACTAAGAGTGTTCAAAAGTATGTGGGTTGGAAAAGATTGTAACGAAGATTCAGGCCCTAGAGCACCCTTAGAGAAAAAGATTCTATACATTTTCGACGCCCATCTTGATGGTTGTTACAAACAGTAAAAACATAAACACAATTAAATAACAAAAACACTATTTTTTATGACAAACTTATACATTACACGACCGTCAGGGCGACTGACGGACCTGCGTTCGAACTGCGCCGGATGATTGTAGATAGCACAAAAGGAAATTCATTAAAGAATACATATATTTTTTGGTGTGACTGAACTGTGACGCGCCGGAACTGATGTGAGTGAATAGATTTTAAGTTTTTGCCGTACTGGTCTGACATTAGGAAATTACTCGTATTAAAGTTGATTCACACACATCAGTCCAGTCAAAGTTCCGTTCCGTTTCTGTTCAGTCTCAGTTACATCCGCAATTCCTCGGTCAAATGTCCGTCAGTTGGTTTCAGTCAGTCTGCCATCACTTTACAGTGACGTTACAGCTAAGAATTTTTAAATAAAACAGTGTCAAGTTGTCATCGTTTATCTTGTTGATTGCTACAAATAGTATTTAAAATATAAACACAATAATTTAAGTAACAAATAAAATATTTTCTACCCTCAAACACGTCCAGTAGGCGTCCGAACAATACAAAAATATCGGCGGGAATAAATCTAAAATTGACTGACGGACCTGCGTCGGATGAATGTGGATAGCGCAATAGAAAATCCATTAAAGATTTTAACTGCGACGAGATTGATGTGACTGAACTGCTGGGACTGATGTGTGTGAATCTACCTAGGCTACTATCATTATCAGGTGGTTTAAATCTCTGTCTATTGATACAACGTCAATGGTTTAAACTTATCGTCGCCACAATATGACAGATGGCCCCACAGGACTGGTCAACACCTACTCACTAGACACCATAGCCTAACTTTGTTGGTTAGCTGTGTCCAACCGTCCACCACATTCCGCCATACATTAGTCTGTCCAACTTTTACTCCAACTCGGGGGATTAATCCCACGCTTATCTAGAAAACAGAGGACTCAACATTTGTGACCCGTATCAAGAATCACATTTTCGTCGTTTTAAAAAAGATCGTTGCTAAAAATAATTTACCATAGGATAGTAAATTAAATCTTTCTAAAACTTCTTAATCAGCATAATACGAGTAATTAATTTTCCGGAGGGTAATTTCACGTCTAATGACACTTAAATTTCAAGTGTTATTAGACTAAAAATGGGCCCAAAATCGAGATTGCTTGGGATGGAACCAGAGTGGCCTTAGTATTTGAAGGCGAGCGCCGTAACCACATGTCTACTCAGGCAGTTTACAACTTTTATTTAATAAAGCTAGACATTGCATAAATGAAGCTTATCTGTAAAATATTTCTCCGCTTGTGTAAGAGCAAGCCTTCTGGTCCCGCTGGGGTTTGCCTTGCTAAAAAACGTGACTGGGGTAAGGGGACCTCGTGAACGACTTCACTTCGTCATACTGATCCTACTGCGTAACTACTACATTAGGATTATCTAAAGTGTTTCATAAGAAAAACCACTTGTTTCTTTCCTAAACCTTAAACTTGATTTGGTCACAGTTACTAATTCCGTTTAAATCACACGCATCTTCATCTTGAATAGCCTACTCGTATTTTTTTACTTCTGAATTTTTTTTATGAAGAAAATATAGTTGTAGTTAAAGCATTAAAATGGTATTTTGTTCGTTTCTTGTCGTCGGAACCACGGAACCTAAATTCTGCTTCAGTGTCATTATACAGTACTTACATGAAAAATCTAAGATATTATTTGCATTACAGTATTTACAGACTCCATTCCCTTTATGAAGCCTTTTTTCCTTTCACTTCGATAACTAATTTTGGTTTTTGTAGATTCACACACACATCGTCAATGGAAATAACCGTATCTTATAGATATTTAGCGTTACCAGACATACACACAAAATCCTAGTAAAAAAGTCAGTTATTTAATCTACACCTATGACATTTTTTAATTTTTTTATAAAACAATCAGTTAAGTCCAATACTGCTAAGGTTTTATTACCGTGCATTGCTGGTCATTGGAACCTCATTGCTGCAATTGTGTTAGATTGGTATTAGATTATAAATTGTAAATAATTAATTACAACGAAGGAAGACCGTTTGCTGCGTTCGCAGTGTTGTGACGAAATGTTTTATTTTGTGATCTTTACCGTAGCCTGATTATTATGTGTACTTGTTAACAGTTTTACTTGCATTCACCATCAATAACAGATTGTTAACCTCAACAATCTGTGAACAAGTCTTTGGGCGCGTGTATATAATTTAATTACCAAAATAGTGATACAGTAGTATTTTACAATAATTCCAAAAGGTGGAATCGTTTTGTGTTAAAACCTAACTAGTTTTATATCTGGAGAGAATTTCTAAAAGACTGTCTTCTGACACTCTAACGATCAGTTGCAGTTTTTCACTATAAATCTAACAATCCCTGGAGAAACGTCAAAAGACTAAACCCTTTAAGCCTCCTATACTTGGAGACAAAAGTTTGCACCCGTCTAAGACTCCAACTTGAAATCCCAGGGGTGCACCTTCGTTTTATTTGGCGTTTAGGTCTTTGGTTTCATCAGGCAGTGGAAAGTCTGTTAAAAGTGTACGATTTATTTTTCTTACATAGTTGCCATGGTACGTGTAGATTCAATCAAAGGTTTGACATACTACTAAATTCTGTATTTATAACATGTTATGTATATGACATGTACACAAACGTACTTATAATCGATTAAACGATTAAATACTGAAAAAAACTGATTAAACATGGAAACCTGATAATAATTATTGAAATAGTTAGACTAACTAAAATTGCATTAAATTAAAACTATTTTCAATACAGTCAGTCGTCTTGGATCGAAGCAGGTGGTCTACCCATGGTTGCGTGGTGTAGCCAGCAATGCCTTGTCTTATGCTGGCTACACCACGCGACCACTTTTAAGTATTACAATTTGGCCAAATGTTAGTAAATGTTTTCTTGTTCGTGTAGGCCTAAGCGTTAAATGTATTTGACGGCTCTTCACAACACCAGGGATGAAGAGAATTTTTCAACCCCTTGGCAAAAAGCTTGAAAATGAACCTTTAGATTAGAACCCCTGGTCGCATACTAAAAAAATGGATCACTGACAATACAACAGGTATTACAACAGGCCTTTTTATTTGTAAAACACTTATTCCGTTCTATCGTAGGTACTGTATTTGGTAAAAGTATTTTTCAGAGATATTTCGCCAACATTTACTTTGAATGCAAACTCCTTAACACATTTTTACAGTGTTAAAACCCGTAGAGTAAGTTGCTTAAATCAGATGAAAATAGTATATTTCGTACCTAGGGCCGAAAACTATCGAGAGCTGCAAAACCATTTCGGTCCGTGATACGAACGCTATTTTTCACCATACTATACCCTTTTACCACTATTCACCACAATAATAATGCACACTAACAGTAACACAGCTACAACTTTAAGGTTATGTAAAGAAATAATTTTAGGAATCAGCAAAAATAATAATAAATAGTTGCTAGGCAGCGGTGACAATAAAACAATTCTATTGCAATGCTTTGGATACTGATTGTGTATTTAATATGGACTAATGTTTTAAGATAGTAAGCGGGCAGCTGATTTTGCGGTCCTAGGGACGTAAAAACCTGCTCGGTCCCCAAATAACGATGACAGCTGGCATGGCCAGCAAAACGTAACTCTCAGCCACCAATTAACGTATGTAAATCAGCTAAAAACATCATAGTGTGGTGAAAATGTTATTAAAGGGTAAAGTATACCTAATAACACTTTGTAAATCGTGCTTTCAAAACAATGAGCTGCAATACGTTCATATAACTCATTTGTATAACTCACTGTATTCTGTATTGTTACTGATGTATGTATCCAGTTCAGTAAAAATACATTAATAAACAGAGTGTTGAAATAAGCACTAAAAGACTACAAGTGCAATCCTACTAATATTATAAGTGAGAAAGTTTGGATGTATGGATGGATGGGTGGCACGGTGGTTGTTTGTGACAAAGTAAACGCGAAAAATACTAAACCAACAGGGTTGAAATTTGGTATGATGATAGGTCACATTCCCAATAAACATATTTGAATATTGTTAACCCAAAAATCCCTTTCGAGCTCCGGCCCAGTGGCTCTGGAGTTTCCAATGTTAACCTTATTATAAA